TGTGCTGTGCTGTGCTGTGCTGTGCTGTGCTGTATTTTGCTGTGCTGTGCTGTGCTGTGCTGTATTTTGCTGTGCTGTGCTGTGCTGTGCTGTATTTTGCTGTGCTGTGCTGTGCTGTGCTGTATTTTGCTGTGCTGTGCTGTGCTGTGCTGTATTTTTGCTGTGCTGTGCTGTGCTGGTGTGCTGTATTTTGCTGTGCTGTGCTGTGCTGTGCTGTATTTTTGCTGTGCTGTGCTGTGCTGTGCTGTATTTTGCTGTGCTGTGCTGTGCTGTGCTGTATTTTGCTGTGCTGTGCTGTGCTGTGCTGTATTTTGCTGTGCTGTGCTGTGCTGTGCTGTATTTTGCTGTGCTGTGCTGTGCTGTGCTGTATTTTGCTGTGCTGTGCTGTGCTGTGCTGTGCTGTATTTTGCTGTGCTGTGCTGTGCTGTGCTGTATTTTGCTGTGCTGTGCTGTGCTGTGCTGTGCTGTATTTTGCTGTGCTGTGCTGTGCTGTGCTGTGCTGTATTTTGCTGTGCTGTGCTGTGCTGTGCTGTATTTGCTGGCTGTGCTGTGCTGTGCTGTGCTGTATTTTGCTGTGCTTGTGCTGTGCTGTGCTGTGCTGTATTTTGCTGTGCTGTGCTGTGCTGTGCTGTATTTTTTGCTGTGCTGTGCTGTGCTGTGCTGTATTTTGCTGTGCTGTGCTGTGCTGTGCTGTATTTTTGCTGTGCTGTGCTGTGCTTGTTGCTGTGCTGTATTTTGCTGTGCTGTGCTGTGCTGTGCTGTGCTGTATTTTGCTGTGCTGTGCTGTGCTGTGCTGTATTTTGCTGTGCTGTGCTGTGCTGTGCTGTATTTTGCTGTGCTGTGCTGTGCTGTGCTGTATTTTTTGCTGTGCTGTGCTGTGCTGTGGCTGTGCTGTATTTTGCTGTGCTGTGCTGTGCTGTGGCTGTATTTTGCTGTGCTGTGCTGTGCTGTGCTGTATTTTGCTGTGCTGTGCTGTGCTGTGCTGTATTTTGCTGTGCTGTGCTGTGCTGTGCTGTATTTTGCTGTGCTGTGCTGTGCTGTGCTGTATTTTGCTGTGCTGTGCTGTGCTGTGCTGTATTTTGCTGTGCTGTGCTGCTGTGCTGTGCTGTATTTTGCTGTGCTGTGCTGTGCTGTGCTGTATTTTGCTGTGCTGTGCTGTGCTGTGCTGTATTTTGCTGTGCTGTGCTGTGCTGTGCTGTGCTGTATTTTTGCTGTGCTGTGCTGTGCTGTGCTGTGCTGTATTTTGCTGTGCTGTGCTGTGCTGTGCTGTGCTGTATTTTGCTGTGCTGTGCTGTGCTGTGCTGTGCTGTATTTTGCTGTGCTGTGCTGTGCTGTGCTGTGCTGTATTTTGCTGTGCTGTGCTGTGCTGTGCTGTATTTTGCTGTGCTGTGCTGTGCTGTGCTGTATTTTGCTGTGCTGTGCTGTGCTGTGCTGTATTTTGCTGTGCTGTGCTGTGCTGTGCTGTATTTTGCTGTGCTGTGCTGTGCTGTGCTGTATTTTGCTGTGCTGTGCTGTGCTGTGCTGTGCTGTATTTTGCTGTGCTGTGCTGTGCTGTGCTGTGCTGTATTTTGCTGTGCTGTGCTGTGCTGTGCTGTATTTTGCTGTGCTGTGCTGTGCTGTGCTGTATTTTGCTGTGCTGTGCTGTGCTGTGCTGTATTTTGCTGTGCTGTGCTGTGCTGTGCTGTGCTGTATTTTGCTGTGCTGTGCTGTGCTGTGCTGTATTTTGCTGTGCTGTGCTGTGCTGTGCTGTGCTGTATTTTGCTGTGCTGTGCTGTGCTGTGCTGTATTTTGCTGTGCTGTGCTGTGCTGTGCTGTGCTGTATTTTGCTGTGCTGTGCTGTGCTGTGCTGTATTTTGCTGTGCTGTGCTGTGCTGTGCTGTATTTTGCTGTGCTGTGCTGTGCTGTGCTGTATTTTGCTGTGCTGTGCTGTGCTGTGCTGTATTTTGCTGTGCTGTGCTGTGCTGTGCTGTATTTTGCTGTGCTGTGCTGTGCTGTGCTGTATTTTGCTGTGCTGTGCTGTGCTGTGCTGTGCTGTATTTTGCTGTGCTGTGCTGTGCTGTGCTGTATTTGCTGTGCTGTGCTGTGCTGTGCTGTGCTGTGCTGTGCTGTATTTTGCTGTGCTGTGCTGTGCTGTGCTGTGCTGTATTTTGCTGTGCTGTGCTGTGCTGTGCTGTGCTGTATTTTGCTGTGCTGTGCTGTGCTGTGCTGTGCTGTATTTTGCTGTGCTGTGCTGTGCTGTGCTGTGCTGTATTTTGCTGTGCTGTGCTGTGCTGTGCTGTGCTGTATTTTGCTGTGCTGTGCTGTGCTGTGCTGTGCTGTATTTTGCTGTGCTGTGCTGTGCTGTGCTGTGCTGTATTTTGCTGTGCTGTGCTGTGCTGTGCTGTGCTGTGCTGTATTTTGCTGTGCTGTGCTGTGCTGTGCTGTGCTGTGCTGTATTTTGCTGTGCTGTGCTGTGCTGTGCTGTGCTGTATTTTGCTGTGCTGTGCTGTGCTGTGCTGTGCTGTATTTTGCTGTGCTGTGCTGTGCTGTGCTGTGCTGTGCTGTATTTTGCTGTGCTGTGCTGTGCTGTGCTGTATTTTGCTGTGCTGTGCTGTGCTGTGCTGTGCTGTATTTTGCTGTGCTGTGCTGTGCTGTGCTGTGCTGTATTTTGCTGTGCTGTGCTGTGCTGTGCTGTATTTTGCTGTGCTGTGCTGTGCTGTGCTGTGCTGTGCTGTATTTTGCTGTGCTGTGCTGTGCTGTGCTGTGCTGTATTTTGCTGTGCTGTGCTGTGCTGTGCTGTATTTTGCTGTGCTGTGCTGTGCTGTGCTGTGCTGTATTTTGCTGTGCTGTGCTGTGCTGTGCTGTGCTGTATTTTGCTGTGCTGTGCTGTGCTGTGCTGTATTTTGCTGTGCTGTGCTGTGCTGTGCTGTATTTTGCTGTGCTGTGCTGTGCTGTGCTGTATTTTGCTGTGCTGTGCTGTGCTGTGCTGTATTTTGCTGTGCTGTGCTGTGCTGTGCTGTATTTTGCTGTGCTGTGCTGTGCTGTGCTGTATTTTGCTGTGCTGTGCTGTGCTGTGCTGTATTTTGCTGTGCTGTGCTGTGCTGTATTTTGCTGTGCTGTGCTGTGCTGTGCTGTGCTGTATTTTGCTGTGCTGTGCTGTGCTGTGCTGTGCTGTATTTTGCTGTGCTGTGGTGTGCTGTGCTGTGCTGTATTTTGCTGTGCTGTGCTGTGCTGTGCTGTATTTTGCTGTGCTGTGCTGTGCTGTGCTGTGCTGTATTTTGCTGTGCTGTGCTGTGCTGTGCTGTGCTGTATTTTGCTGTGCTGTGCTGTGCTGTGCTGTGCTGTGCTGTATTTTGCTGTGCTGTGCTGTGCTGTGCTGTATTTTGCTGTGCTGTGCTGTGCTGTGCTGTGCTGTATTTTGCTGTGCTGTGCTGTGCTGTGCTGTGCTGTATTTTGCTGTGCTGTGCTGTGCTGTGCTGTATTTTGCTGTGCTGTGCTGTGCTGTGCTGTGCTGTGCTGTATTTTGCTGTGCTGTGCTGTGCTGTGCTGTATTTTGCTGTGCTGTGCTGTGCTGTGCTGTGCTGTATTTTGCTGTGCTGTGCTGTGCTGTGCTGTGCTGTATTTTGCTGTGCTGTGCTGTGCTGTGCTGTGCTGTATTTTGCTGTGCTGTGCTGTGCTGTGCTGTATTTTGCTGTGCTGTGCTGTGCTGTGCTGTGCTGTATTTTGCTGTGCTGTGCTGTGCTGTGCTGTGCTGTATTTTGCTGTGCTGTGCTGTGCTGTGCTGTATTTTGCTGTGCTGTGCTGTGCTGTGCTGTGCTGTATTTTGCTGTGCTGTGCTGTGCTGTGCTGTGCTGTATTTTGCTGTGCTGTGCTGTGCTGTGCTGTATTTTTTGCTGTGCTGTGCTGTGCTGTGCTGTATTTTTGCTGTGCTGTGCTGTGCTGTGCTGTGCTGTGCTGTGCTGTATTTTGCTGTGGCTGTGCTGTGCTGTGCTGTGCTGTGCTGTATTTTGCTGTGCTGTGCTGTGCTGTGCTGTGCTGTATTTTGCTGTGCTGTGCTGTGCTGTGCTGTGCTGTGCTGTGCTGTTTTGCTGTGCTGTGCTGTGCTGTGCTGTGCTGTATTTTGCTGTGCTGTGCTGTGCTGTGCTGTGCTGTATTTTGCTGTGCTGTGCTGTGCTGTGCTGTATTTTGCTGTGCTGTGCTGTGCTGTGCTGTGCTGTATTTTGCTGTGCTGTGCTGTGCTGTGCTGTGCTGTATTTTGCTGTGCTGTGCTGTGCTGTGCTGTATTTTGCTGTGCTGTGCTGTGCTGTGCTGTGCTGTGCTGTATTTTGCTGTGCTGTGCTGTGCTGTGCTGTATTTTGCTGTGCTGTGCTGTGCTGTGCTGTGCTGTATTTTGCTGTGCTGTGCTGTGCTGTGCTGTGCTGTATTTTGCTGTGCTGTGCTGTGCTGTGCTGTATTTTGCTGTGCTGTGCTGTGCTGTGCTGTGCTGTGCTGTATTTTGCTGTGCTGTGCTGTGCTGTGCTGTGCTGTGCTGTGCTGTGCTGTGCTGTGCTGTGCTGTGCTGTGCTGTGCTGTGCTGCCTCGGTCCCGTGATGAGAGAGTGCTGTGCTGTCTCGGCCCCGTGATGAGAGAGTGCTGTGCTGTCTCGGCCCCGTGATGAGAGAGTGCTGTGCTGTCTCGGTCCCGTGATGAGAGAGTGCTGTGCTGTCTCGGTCCCGTGATGAGAGAGTGCTGTGCTGTCTCGGTCCCGTGATGAGACAGTGCTGTGCTGTCTCGGTCCCGCCCCCATGATGAGAATTCTGAAGACGCATTGCCCCACGCTCTAGGCTCCAAGACGCATGATGATGCGTCCCGCATGATGAAGCTGTGCTGTCTCGGTCACGCATTGCCCCACGCTCTAGGCTCACCGACCCTGTGGCCTCCTCTCGTGCGGCCCTTTCTAGTACCAGTCTCTTCTCTCTTAAAATTTCAAGCTCTCTTCAATCCAACACGCATCACCTTACCTTGAACAAGAGTGCCGTTACCTTGGCGAGATAAGGCGAGATGGCGAACCCCCCAGAGCCGCCAACGAGAGTGCCGTCTTGGTCTTGAATGGCGAAGAAGCGGGAGATTAGCGACGTAGACTTTGTGGGGTTCTGGGGGGGGGGGAAAAAAACAGAGAAAAAAAGGTAAGGAGAAGAGGACGGTGTCGTTGGAGAGAGAGGAAATTGAGTGAAAGAAAGTGATTAAAGAAAGAGAAGAGTTGGCATTATGATTAGGGAATTTTCTAGGCAGACCCCTGTGGTATTTTTACTATTCAGCTGAGCATGAAGACATCAATTAGTTCACTGTATTTGGACATCATAAGACCCCCTTGTTATATTGTGGGGCGCCTAGAAATAAGCTTTGCATGTTAATCGAACTGTTGATTTATTCACATGTTACTTGTTCACAAGCTCATTTGTTCACTTCACTGTACTCACTGCTTCCTGTTGTAGATAGACCCGGCTAGTGGTTGCATCGAACTTGAGATCCTGGATTGGCGAGGGTGAAGGGAAAGGGCGCAAAAGAGGAGAGAGGGAATGGAGAAAAAAAGGGGGAACGAAGACAAGGAGTAGATGTTGAAATCTGCTGACAAGAGACCCGGCTAGCGGTTGCATTGCATCCAGCTTGAGATCCTGAATTGGCGACAAAGGTAACTAGGGCACGGCAGAAAACGAGAGGGGAAAGAGAACACAAAATGGGTAATGGACTAGTGAATGATGGTGAAGTCTTGTTGAGGGATGACCCGGTTTCTGGTTGCATCAATCTAGGGATCCTGGATTGGCGAGGGTGAGGGAGCAAAAGAGGGGGGAACAAGAGCGGCAGGGTAACGCGTAATAGCAGCAAATGATGATAAACTTGAGTCTTGGAGAAATTCAGGGTGTGTGGCTGCTTCAAACTTGAGAAGGGACCGTGCGTTGGCAAGGGAAAAGGGCAGGAGGGTGAGGGAAAGAGGGGGGAAAGTCATTTTTTGAATTCTAAAAAATTACTCCACTCTAGCGGGAAGCAAAGAGGGCAGGGAAGGGAAGAGAGCAAAGAGGGAGGGACTGGGCGTTGGCAAGGGAAACGGGCAGGAGGGTAAGGGAGCAAAGAGGGGGGAAAGGGAAGGGAAGAGAGAAGGAAAGGGTAACGACGAAGAAGAGAGTTATGAATTATGATAATTGAATATTTGTGGGAATTCTAGAATTCCTGTATCATTCAGGAAGGAATATCTGTTCGTAGCTGTACAGAAACGAAGCTTTTAACAGAAGTTATAAAAGGGGGGAAAACAACAAGAAGGCGATTGTAGAGGTGGAAGTGGACAACTTAAAAAAAGCTGCTTTTGCTCTAGAATTCTCAAGTGGATTTTCAGGTGGAGTTCTCGAAGAGCAACCTGAGTGGCTGTTGAAGAGTCCCAAAAGCCTCCGAAGACTGTTGCTTGGCACACGATGGCTGGACTGGCAGGGTTGCATGTTGCGTACTGAGTAAAGCTGGAGAGAGGGATCAGGATTGGTTATGGGAGAGGGGGGCGAAGCAGGAAGGGGGGGCCTGGAGTCTTCACACTCCCAGAAGGATCCATCCAATGCTGCTGGCTCTATATAAATATACATAAAGGTATGTATATATACGCTTGTATAAATGTGACTTACGAGCATCCAGAGATCTTCACACTCCCAGAAGGGTCCATCCAATGCTGCTGACTCAGCGCAATGCCGACCGGAGACTCAAACGTCCCGAACCTAAAAGACACCACCGCCGCCCGCACGCTCGCAACACTGTTCAACTCGGCAACACTGCTGTTACCATTCTGGTTACCACCCCCTGCGGAACCTCTCAGCCACTTCCCGAGCCTGCCCCTGAGGTTCTTCCCGAGCCTCTGCCCGAACCGGGAGAGCCCGAGCCTGTTCCGAAGCTGGGCGATCCGCGAGAGGGTCGCCTTGGGAAGGCGGGGGAGGGAAGCTTTAGCAAGAGAGGAGAACAGGGTCGCTACCTCCTCATCTTGCCAGTAATTCAGTTCTTTTTCGAAAAATGGACCTAGGGAAGGGTCGGCAGGGGTTTGGGGTTGTCGGTAACCGGTGGGCCTGACGAGGGGGGGGTGATGGGATTAGGGTAGCCGTCGGTAGGGGGATTGCCTTGGGCTGGTGAGGTGCTTTCGGTTGGAGAGCTGCTTTCAGTGGGAAGGCTTTGGATGGTGAAAGTGGTGCTGGCAGTGCTAGCAGTGCTGGCAGTGGTGGTGGTGGTGGCTGTGGTGGTGCTGGTGACACCCTTGATGCTGTTCCCCTGGATAAAACCATCCTCGTTAGTAGACGCTGCGCTGGCTGTTACAGGGCCTTCTGAGTTGAGGTACGATCGGAGGAGCGTGGACGAGAGAGACTCCTGAACCAAGGCCGTCGGCTGGTTGGGGAAGAGGCCGCTTGCGCCGGTGCTTGTTGCAGCAGCAGCAGCCGCAGTTTTGAAGTCCATTGCTTGAGCTTGGGCAGAGGCTCGTTTGGCTGATGATCTGTAGGCGCAAGGGGTGGGGGGGGGGGGGAGGAGGTGGCAAGAGACGGATTTGAAAGGTGCTAGTTGAGATACGATCGGAGGAGCTTGGATGAGAGAGACTCCTGAACCGAGGCCGTCGGCTGGTTGGGGAAAAGGCTGCTTGCGCTGGTACTTGTTGCAGAGGCAGCAGTGAAAGCAGCAGCAGCAGTGGCAGTTTTGGTGTTTACTCCTTGCGCTTGGGCAGAGGCCCGTTTGGCTGATGATCTGTAGACACAGGAGAGGGGGGAGAGGGGGGGAGAGAGGATGCAAAAGACGGATTTGAAATGTGCTTGCTGAGATAGAACTTGAGCAGCTTGGATGAGAGAGACTCCTGAACCGAGGCTGTCGGCTGGTTGGGGAAAAGGCTGCTTGCGCTGGTGCTTGTTGCAGAGGCAGCAGTAACAAAGGCAGCAGTAAAAGCAGCAACAGTTTTGGTGTTTGCTCCTTGCGCTTGGGCCGAGGCCCGTTTGGCTGATGATCTGTAGGCGCAAGGGGTGGGGGGGGAGGGGGAGGGGAGAGAGAGCGGAAGGCAGGGGAGGGATTAGATTGTGTTTACATTGGCAGCAGCAGCAGCAGTTTTGGTGTTCAATTCTTGAGCTTGGACAGAGGCCCGTTTGGCTGATGCTCTGTTTAGGCAGGGGGGAGGAGAGACAAAGGCAGGGAAAGAATGTGAATTGCGCTGGTTGCATTAGCAGCAGCGTGCACTTTGATGCTCACATTCACATCGCTGCTGATAGCACCACCGGTGACAAGGCTTGCTGCGCACACATGCACCAACCAAGGAAGCAACACCGCACACACACATGCAGAGCTGGGTGGGTGCGGCTGTCAAACGGGTGTTCTGCACTTTGATGTCCATTTTCAGGTGTATTTTGAGTCGATGATCTGCACATCTGCACTCAAAATACATCTGCACTTTGATGTCCATGATCACATCGCTGCTTGTGCCCACTGAAACTCTTCATGATGCTTTGATGCATCATCTCACACGCAGGGCTGGGTGCGGCCAGCGAAGCGGGTGTTCTGCACTTTGATATCCACATTCACATCGCTGCTCCCGATGCCCACCGACGCGCTAACAGCGACGGTGCTGACTGCAGGTGAGAACAGTCAGCTGGGGGAAACTGTCGTCAGTTGGTGAAACACTTACACGCAGGGCTGCGTGCGGCCAACGAAGCGGGTGTTCTGCACTTTGATATCCACATTCACATCGCTGCCGATGCCCACCGCCACGTCCACGAACGCAGAGTCCCTGATGGTGGTATCCCGGCTGCGATGGAAGAGAATGCTGCGAGATGGATGGGATACAGTAAGGTGGGGTGGGGTGGGGTGAGGTGGGGTGGGGTAGGGTGGGGTGGGGTGGTGTGGGGTGGGGTGGGATAGGTCTTGGAGATGCCGACTGATACATCCACGAATACTGAGTCTTTTGTGGCAGCGCCTCTGTTGCGATGGGCGATAGAATGCTGCAGAGGTGAGATGGAAGAGAATGCCCCCCCTTGCAACGTGCGATGGGCACACAAGGGGGAGGAGGCAATGGTGTGTGTAAGTGAGAAGAGATGGGCACACAAGGGGGTGAGATGGGGGGGGCGCACAAGGTGATGAGGGGAGTTGAAAGGGAAGATGTGAGGTGCAGGGCAGCAGAGACGAAGGGATATAGGAAAGTAAATGGAGCGAGTGGAGCCGAATGGAGCAAGTTGAGACGAATGGAACAAGTGGAGCCGAATGGAACAAGTGGAGCCGAATGGAGCAAGTGGAGCCGAATGGAACAAGTGGAGCCGAATGGAGCAAGTGGAGCCGAATGGAACAAGTGGAGCCGAATGGAACAAGTGGAGCCGAATGGAGCAAGTGGAGCCGAATGGAACAAGTGGAGCCGAATGGAACAAGGGGCGTTGAAATTGAAGCAGCGAGGCGCACGTTGAGATGATAGGGGGAAGCAGAAGAGGAGGGAGAGAGTAATAGACATACCCGAGTCTGCTCTGGTACACAAGCAGATTGGTGAAAACAGCCTGCAGTTAGAAAGAAGGGGGGGAGGGGGGGGAAGGAAGGCAGTGGGGGGGGTTGGGGGGCAGGCAGGGGGAAGCGGGCAGTGGAGGGAGGTGGAGCAGGAATAGTTGAAGGAGGAGGGGGGCATAACCAGAGAAGACCAGGGTTGAAGTCGGAGAAATAACCTCTGGTGGTTGGGAGGAGGGGGAGAAAGAGAGGACTCGGGTGGTTGTGTGATTGGGTCTTATAGTGTAAATGCGTCTCGACAGGGTGTCATGTCATGGCATGGCATGCTATGTCATGTCATGCTATGTCATGTCATGTCATGCCATGTCATGTCAAGAGCAGGCTACGTTGCTGCCTAATCAGCTGGAACAACCGTATTTAACCGCACTTCAGAGCATCTCACCACTTTCGAGGGTCGCTTCGGATGAGAAAACATGCAAAGGCCCCTTCGGCAAGAGTCAAACAACGTGGCATAGGTACCGCATCCAACTGCATTTGACTGTATCACTCACCTCCTTGGGTGGGCGGTTGCCCTGGGGATACATGCGAATGCTGGCCTTACAGGAGTGAGCCCCGTTGCCATCAAACCGGCCAAGTGAGCTGAAGAATGGCATTGGGGTGTTGCCCATAAGTACACATGGAATGGTAGCCTGCACCGCACTGCACCGCATCCCACTCACCTCTTTCGGGGGTCTGTTCCCATGTGGGTACATGCGAATGCCGGCCTTGCACGAGTGAGCCACGTTGCCGTCGAACCGGCCAAACGAGTCGAAGAACGGCATTGGGGTGTCGCCCAAGTCCAGCTTCTTGGAAGCTCCCCGCATGCGAGCCAGCATCTCGTACCAGTAGCTGAGGGTGGGCGAGAGGGGAGAGATAAGAGGGGAGATGGGAAGAAAGAGGGAGATAAACCATGGATAAGGGTGAGTCGCCCAGGTCCAGCTTCTTGGACGCTCCCCGCGTGCGAGCCAGCATCTCATACCAGTAGCTGTTGGAGAGAGGGGGGGAGGGAAAAGGGGGGAAGGAGGGGAAGGGGGGAGAGGGGGGAAGGGGGAGGAAGGGGGGGGGTGGGGAGGAGGGGGAGAGACAGGGAGTTGAGGGCATGGCACGAGTTGAAGAACAGCAGCGGGGTGTCGCCCAGGTCAAGCTTCTTGGACGCTCCTCATATGCAAACCAGCATCTCGTACCAGTAGCTGCACTAAAGGAAGGGAGCAAGGGATCTTTGTGTTGCAGGTGATATAGAATTCTAAAATATCACAGAGAGAGAGAGAGAGAGAGAGAGAGCCACCTGCTCCGCTGTGGGACGGGCCACGGGCGCACTGACACGCATAATGCTCTTCGGGACGAGTGCATCTGCATGGCGCGAGATGCACAGTTCATCGTTGAGAAAGAAAATGCCACCTATACCCCTATTGGCGACCAGACTGCCGACCTGGCAATCCGGGACCGAGACTCGGGTGCTGTATGGATCTGTGACGTCACCGTCACCGACCCGATCAGCAGCCGCGACCCCCTGGCACGGAAAGGGAGTGGGTACATGGCACGGGAGCAAGCAGACAAGAAGATGGACCACTATCGCAACCGCGCGCCGTACGTCGGTTTCTTCCCCCTCGCCGTGGAGACCTACGGGTGTCCCTAGGCTTGAGCAACGGGTCGGGTCGGGTCGGGTAACCCGACCCGAACCCGACTTTTTGACGGGTCGGGTCGACATTTGCGGAAGGTTGACCCGACCCTCGGGTACCCGACCCGACCCGACCCGACCCGACCGATAAAACCCGACCCGTCGGGTCGGCTTATTACCCGTCCCTGCCCCTATGCCAACCCGACCCGACCCGACCCGAAATCGGGTTAGGTAGAACCCGACCTATTAAACACGGGTCGGGTTGACATTTCCTGAACTCCGACCCGACTTGACCCGACCCGACCCGACCCGAACCCGACATCGGGTAGGGCAAAGTCGGGTCGGGTCGGGTCGGATCGGGTTCATGCTCAAGCCTAGGTGTCCCGGTGCCGAGGTGCCCGCTTTCCTACAGCTCTTGGCCAATACCGGCGCCCGCCGCCTCTTCAATGCGAACCCGAGCTCGTACCAAGCCGCCAAGCTGCTCAACCAGTTTCAGCAGCGGTGGTCGGTCACCCTCCAGCGTGGGCAGGCCCTCTCGTACCTCGGCAAGGTGAATGAAGCCTCCCCGCTCGAGGGGCCCGTCCTTGGGGCTCCAGACGAAGGCATGTCCCTCGGGGACTGCTTCGTCATTTTGGAGCCCACTGGGGAGCTAACGCAGGCTAGCCAGGGGAGGGAGAGAGGTTTAGGATGCATGCCCGTTCCCGACCCATTTGCCTAGCTCTGTACACAGGCTCCTAATGAATACAAAGGACTGCTTGAGAGAGAGAGAGAAAAAAAACATCAGTATCTCATACCAGTACCTGCACAAAATGAAGCGAGGGACCTTAATATCTCTTTTAGAGCTTAAAAATTTTACCCTTTATTGAGCGATACCACCCGTCATGCATCGCCATATGTGACCCACCGTGTATTCTCACATGCCATCCACACCCACACATACATTGTCACATGCCATCCACACCCACCCTGTATTGTCACATGCCATCCACCCACCCTGTATTGTCACATGCAGCTGCCGTGTTGCCTATCAGATCCTTGCTGGTGCTCACACCTTCCTTCCAGAGCACGGTGGCCTGGATGCCCGTCTGCCTGCCTGCCTGCCTGTCTGTCTTAATAATCGCATGCATCCGATTATCACACCCACCCTATATCGTCACATGCCATCCACCCGCCCTGTATTGTCACATGCAGCTGCCGTGTTGACTGTCAAATCGTTGCTGGTGCTCACACCTTCCAGAGCACGGTGGCCTGGATGCCCGTCTGCCTGCCTGCCTGTCTGTCTTAATAATCGCACGCATCCGATTGTCACACCCTCCCTGTATTGTCACATGCCATCCACCCACCCTGTATTGTCACATGCAACTGCCGTGTTGCCTATCAAATTGTTGCTGGTGTGACAATACAGACAGATAGGCAGCCAGGCATGCAGACTCACACCTTCCAGAGCTCAGTGGCCTGGATGTCCGTCTGCCTGCCTGTCTGTCTGTCTTAATAGTCACATCCCACTTTTTCCACATCCACCCTACATACAATCACAAATCCACCCACCCAATCCGTATTGCCCCATCCACCACCTGTATCGTCGTACCCACCCTGTATTGTCACACCCACCCTGCATTGTCACACCCACCCTGCATTGTCACACCCACCCTGCATTGTCACACCCACCCTGCATTGTCACACCCACCCTGCATTGTCACACCCACCCTGCATTGTCACACCCACCCTGCATTGTCACACCCACCCTGCATTGTCACACCCACCCTGCATTGTCACACCCACCCTGCATTGTCACACCCACCCTGCATTGTCACACCCACCCTGCATTGTCACACCCACCCTGCATTGTCACACCCACCCTGCATTGTCACACCCACCCTGCATTGTCACACCCACCCTGCATTGTCACACCCACCCTGTATTGTCACATCCAGCCGCCACGTTGCCAATCAGATCATTCCTTGGGCTCGCCATCCAGAACGTGGTGGCCTGGTTGTCCGTCTGCCTGTCCAGGCGGTCCGAGGACTCGGGGGGGATCACCTTGCGCACTGGAGGGGGGAGGGCAAGGGCAAGCGAAGTTACATGGCTTAGAGACAGGAGAGTACAAGGAATTGCCATCCAGAATGTGGTGGCCTGGTTGCCCGTCTGCCTGTCCAATCTGTCCGAGGACTCGGGGGGGAGGACCTTGCGCACTGGAGGGGCGACAGGAGGGGAGGGAGAGACAAAAGAAAAAAGGGAGAGAGAGCATATTGCCTGGTATGTACCCTGGTTTCTGTTTTATTTTGAGTCGACTAAAAAGTCATCTCGTATGCACCCCGGTTCCTGCAAGTATAAGCAGTGCCCCTTGCTCTCACACGCCCACCGTCCCCTCTGCTCACCCTCTCTCCCCCTCTCATGCCTCTCTGTACTCGTTATAAGCCCGCCCAACTCACCTCCTCGGATGTTGATCCCCAGGTTCCGCTTAAACACGTTGTTGTACTCGCTGCCCTCCTCCGTCAAGAAGCAGTGCCCCTTGGTTTCATAAGCCACATTTTCCTCTATGGTCATATCTGATGTAGCGTGGATGACCACACAGCGCTGCACAGAGAGAGAATGGAGGAGAAGGAAGGGGGATGAGAGGCCAGGAAGATGGGGTGCGAAGGAGCCACGAAGCAGCGCCCCTTGGTTTCATGCCCCTGATTGCTGTCCCTCCCCGCAGATGTGCAAGTGCACGGCCCGTGCAAAAAACCAGGGGGTAGCATCCCAGCGTGAGGAGTCTATTTTTGAGGCGCCTCAAAAATAGACTCCCCGTGCAAAAGGCCAGGGGGTAGCGCCCCAGAATACCTGGAGGTGCTGAACTGAATCCTACCCCCGACCACGAACCCTGCACCCTGATTTCGCATACCTTGTGGCTGGCAGCGATGACGTTCTTGCGCACAAATGCACGGGGTAGCGCCCCAGCACCAGCATATGTACACCTACTGCTCCTCCTCGGTACCCCGTACCTGTTGGCTCGCAGCGATGACGTTCTCGCGCACGACGTGCCCCTGGTTGCCGTTCCCACAGATGTGGAAATGCACGGGGTAGCGCCCCACCCCAGCACTCCGTGAGGTGCTAAACCCTAGGCCCTGAACCTTCAACTCTAGACCCTACATCAGCATACCTGCTGGCTCGCAGCAATGACGTTCTTGCGCACGATGTGAGCCTGGTTGCCATTCCCGCAGATGTGGAAGTGCACGGGATACCGCCCCAACACGCCTTGGTTCCCTAAGCCAAGGAACTGCACCCCCTCTATGACTTGCGGCGTGCGAGTCATAAACACCATGAAGTGACCGCCTGTAGAGGGCGCAGAGGGGAGAAAGGGGATGGGGGAAGGAGGACAACGGGTGAGAAGAGAGAGAGAATGAGGGAGTGGCAACGCCCCAGCACGCCCTCGCTCCCCAGCCCAAGGAACTGCATCCCCTCTATGACTTGCGGCATGCGAGTCATAAAGAGCATGAAGTGACCGCCTGTAGAGGGGGCAGGAGGGATAGAGAGGAGGACGACTATGTAAGAGGATATCGCCCCAGGCTCCCAGCACACCCTGGTTCCCTAAACCAAGAAAATGCACCCCTTGTATGACTTGCAGCGTGTGAGTCATAAACACCATGAAGTGACCGCCTATAAAGGGGATTGTGGGTTGGGGATAGAGAGGAGGAGAGACAAAGGGGACGACAAGGTAAGAAGATACCACACTTGCCATAATTCGTTCCCCAGCCCAATGAAGGAACTGTATTCCTTGTATGACTTGCCGTGTGCAAGTTATGAACATTGCATAAAACACGGCATAAGTGTAGAATAAACAAAGCATAGAACATGGCATAAGCATAGAATGAACATGATCCGGCATAATCGTAGTATAAACGTATCGTACAACGTAGAACAAGTGTAGAATAACCGTAGCATAAAACACAACATGAAACATAGCATAAAACGTAGCATAGAACATAGGATAAACATAGCAATCCCCAACTTCCCTTTGGTTCCAGGACCAGGGAAGGGAGAAAATCGCCCCCGAATGGGCGGAGGAAACGAGGCGGGGTGAGAAAGTGTGTAATGAGTCGACTCTTGAGTCGACTCAACAATCGACTCATTACACCCGAATAGGCGGAGGGACCGAGGCGGGGTGAGAAAGGGAATTGGGGAGCAGTGAAGGGGGGAGACCAGGGAATGGGATTGGGAAGGAAAAATCCACCACACTCGTATTTCTATTAAAATTATTTGTTTACAGTACATGGGTTGAAAACCAGATGACTTAACTTTCGAAGAGTACTTACCATCTGTGTCGAAGGGTGGCTTTTCCTTGTACCCCCGAATGATGACGTTCCGGTCCAAAAGGGCAACTTCCCCTCGAATATCCACCGTGCCCCCCACTCCATCAGGGATACCCTGGAGACTACCCTCGTGGCGGAACTTGAGGGGCTTGGCCAATCCGATATAGTAACCAGGACCAGAGGGCATAGGGGCGACTGTGATTGTATGGGGGGAGGGGGAGGGGGTGGGGAAGAAGGAAGTGGGGGGAAAAGGAGGAGACAGAAGGAGAGAACCAGGGGCTTGGCCAATCCGATATAGTCACAAGGACCACAGGGCATAGGGGCGACTGAGGTGTACGAGATGTGGGGGAAGTGGGGTGGGGGGGGGGGGAGAGAGTGGGGGGAAGAAAGGAAGGGCAGATGGAGGGATTATGTCTGTGAAAGAGGTAATCCGCCTGAGATCAAATCCAAAGGCGTAATGATTACAGTAAAAAAACGTAATGATTACAGTTGAAAAGCTTACTGACTACAGTAAAAAAAACGTAATGATTACAGTCATATCTCCGGCGCATTCATACTGTCACAGCCACCACCAATTCGCTACAGTCACACTCACCATAAGTAATCACCCCCGTCTCCGCCTCATTCATGTTCGCACTAGTGGACGCAACCGCTACAGTGCCGCCGACCGGCCAGTTCGTGATATCGCCGTCCACAACCACGAACTTATCTCCCGGCACCACTGTGCGCACCAGCCGCACCCACGCAGGGGCAGAGGCAGAGCCGGGCATGCCGTGTAGATCCACTGCCCCTCCCACCTGTCATGCAGACAGGCATGAAAGAAGGATGTGGAAGAGGGGAGAAGAGCAATGGGCCAGTGAGCCAGTCTGTGATATCTCCGTCTGTAACCACGAACTTATCTCCCAGCACCACTGTGCGCACCAGGTGCACCCATGCCAGGGCGGAGGAAGAGCAGGGCATGCCATGTAGCTCGACGGCTTTTGAGTCGACTCAAGAGGAAGAGCGGGGCATGCCAAATAGATCGACGGCTCCCCCAACCTGGTGTCTAAAGAGGGAGTGGGAGGGGAAGGGGAGCGCAAGGAGAGGGGATGGTTGTTCCCGGCACCACTGTGCGCACCAGCCGGTGACTTTTGAGTCGACTCAAAAGTTCCCAGCACCACTGTGCGCACCAGCCGGTGACTTTTGAGTCGACTCATAAGTTCCCAGCACCACTGTGCGCACCAGCAGCACCCATGCCAGGGTGGAGGAAGAGCAGGGCAAGCCGTGCAGATCACTTTTGAGTCGACTCAAAAGTCCCCAGCACCACTGTGCGCACTAGCGCACCCACTGTGTGGGCAGAGGACGACCCGGGCATGCCGTGCAGATCAAGCGCTCCTCCCGACTGTTCTCAAGTGAAAGAGGAAGAAACGCCCAGAGAGAAGAGGCCAGTGAGTGGCATCGCCGTCCACAACCAACCAGGTAGTTGTTCCCTCCCTGGCACCACTGTGTGCACCAGCCGCACCCAGGAGGGAGCGGAGGAAGAGCAGCAAAGGGAGGAGAGCAGCAAAGGGAGGAGAGAAGCGAAGCGAGGAGAGAAGCAAAGGAAGGGGCACCACAAAGGGAACAGAAGCCCATGGCAAGAAGTGAAGGTTCAACGTATCACAACAGAGGGGGGAGCACAGAAACCAGGGAAGTCACCATGGCAAAGGTCTAGTGCCCCAGGTTACCGGGGCTCTGAGGGTCGGCAGGAGGAAGCTCGGTGAGAGAGAAGTTGCGGCGTCCGGGGGAGGGGAGGAGGGTGAAGAGAGAGCGAGGCGGCGGAAGAAGGGTAAGAGGGAGCGGCCTAGCACAGCACAGGGGGGAGACAGCAACGCACCACAATAAAGGCCTTATGTCCCAGGTTTTAGGGTTTAGGGGAGATGACAGCAACGCACCACAATAAAAGCCTTATGTCCCAGGGTGCGAGGATTCTGGGGGTCGGCTGGCAGGAGGTCGGTGAGAGAGAAGTTGCGGCGCCCGGGGGAGGGGAGGAGGGTGAAGAGCGCGAGGCGGGGGAAGGGAGAGGAACCTACCAACCACACCAAAGACCACGTCGACTCAAGAAGGAGGGGGGAGGCCAGGCTTTGAGTTGACTCGAAAGAAAGACAGCAACTCACCACAATAAAGGCCTTGTGCCCGAGATTGCGGGGGTTCTGAGGATCGGCTGGGGGTAGGTCCGTGAGAGAGAAGTTGCGGCGCCCGGGTGAGGGGAGGAGGGTGAAGAGAGCAAGGCGGCGGAAGGGAGCGTCGGAGGAACCAACGGAGAGGCGTCCTTGGACTATGATGAAGGTTGCTTGCACCTCAACCCGAGGGAGGGATGGGGAGTCCTGCACCCTGTGGCAGGGGGAAGGCGGAAGAATGCACGCCAACCAACGCGACACAGATGCACACACGAAAAGGGGGGAGGGGAGGAGGGTGAAGAGAGGGTGAAGGCGGAAGGGATTGTCCGAGGAACCGACGGAAGCACTCTCAGTTCACCACAGGGTGAAGGCGGAACCGACGGCCCTGAACTGAGAGTGCCTCAAAAGCACTCTCAGTTCACCACAGGGTGAAGGCGGAACCGACGGCCCTGAACTGAGAGTGCCTCAAAAGCACTCTCAGTTCACCACAGGGTGAAGGCGGAACCGACGGCCCTGAACTGAGAGTGCCTCAAAAGCACTCTCAGTTCACCACAGGGTGAAGGCGGAACCGACGGCCCTGAACTGAGAGTGCCTCAAAAGCACTCTCAGTTCACCACAGGGTGAAGGCGGAACCGACGGCCCTGAACTGAGAGTGCCTCAAAAGCACTCTCAGTTCACCACAGGGTGAAGGCGGAACCGACGGCCCTGAACTGAGAGTGCCTCAAAAGCACTCTCAGTTCACCACAGGGTGAAGGCGGAACCGACGGCCCTGAACTGAGAGTGCCTCAAAAGCACTCTCAGTTCACCACAGGGTGAAGGCGGAACCGACGGCCCTGAACTGAGAGTGCCTCAAAAGCACTCTCAGTTCACCACAGGGTGAAGGCGGAACCGACGGCCCTGAACTGAGAGTGCCTCAAAAGCACTCTCAGTTCACCACAGGGTGAAGGCGGAACCGACGGCCCTGAACTGAGAGTGCCTCAAAAGCACTCTCAGTTCACCACAGGGTGAAGGCGGAACCGACGGCCCTGAACTGAGAGTGCCTCAAAAGCACTCTCAGTTCACCACAGGGTGAAGGCGGAAGGGATTGTCCGAGGAACAAGACGGCAAGACGGCCCTGAACGACGATGTAGGGTGCTTGCACCTCGACTCACACTCTCACTCACACACTCACACACACACACACTCACACACTCTCACACTCACACACACACTAACACAGAGAAGCAACCGTACACACCTGAGCCATCCTTTTATGACGAGCTTGCTGAGGCTCACTAGAGGCACATCCAGCAGCACGGCCGTCCCACACGGTATAGTCACATCCGCCCACTCGCTCCCAGCTGCCTTCACTCCTGGAACCACGGAGCTGCCGGTACTGGCCCACGTGGCAGGGTCGCTCCACAGCTTCCAACCTGGCGAAGTTAGAAAGGAAAAGGTAAGAAGGAATAGGGAAGGGTGGGAAGGGACAGGGACAGGGATAGGGATAGGGATAGGGACAGGGATAGGGACAGGGACAGGGATAGGGACAGGGACAGGGACAGGGATAGGGGCAAGGAGGAATGAAATGGAGTTTTGAGACGATTAGGAAACAGAAGGAAAGGGACAGGCGTAGGGGCAGCGGCAGGGCCAGGGACAGAGAGAGAGGGGAAGGGGAGGGGAGAGAGGGGAAAAGGGAAAGGAACCACGCGGAAAAGGGTGGGGCAGAGATAGATCTGAAGACGGGTAAGGAAGCGACGGGAAGGTAAGCGGAAGGGGAAGGGGAAGGGGAAGGGGAAGGGGAAGGGCGGCGGCTGCTACAAGACCAGGTCGGTGGACGGCGATGCACCGATTCGCACCTTCTTGCACCAAAGGGAGGGGAGGAGGAGGGGGGAGGCGGGGTTGGGGGGAGCGACGGGGGGAAAGGGACGGGGGGAAGGGATGGGGGGAAGGGATGGGGGGAAGGGTCGCCGGGGGAAGGGCGACCGGGAAGGGGAAAGGTTGGCTGCTACAAGGCCAGCTCGCTGGAGGGCCATACACCGATTCGCACCTGCTTTCACCGATCTGGATTCCATCCCTACGGAGGCCACGCGGACTTCTGCGTACCTTCCGCGCGCCGCGTGAGATGCGCGCGTTGCCGGCGCATTTGAGTCGACTCAAAAGCGTTGCCGGCGCATTAGGCACCGTGCGGGCGCACATGCGCATTGTGTGTGTGCCCTGCGGCGCGCGCACCGCGGAAGGGGGAGTGGGGGGAATGGGGGGGTGTGTGGGGGGGTGTGGGGGAGCCATGCTCCTTGCACGCGTGGCGAGGAGCCGTACCTTCTGGGGGAGGGTCCGGCAGAAAGGGGCATGGCGGCTGGTACGAGTCGAGCACGCTGAACGGCGCCGCACCGACTTGCACCGATCCGAACCCACCGAAGGACGCGACTAAAACGAGCGACAGGAGCGTAGCCGGGATGACGACGTGTCGCGACCGCCAGTCGCGACGGTGTACCACTAGCCGCGCGCGCATGGTGCGGGCCTTTGGCGGAACTTGCGCAGTAGCGGAACTAACGCGATGGCGGATAGCCTGGCGGAATTTGCGCGCGGTGGCGGCGGATAGCCGTCCGCAATGGGAGGATCGGATTGCCGCTGGGGGACTGGCGAGCGAGTAGTGGCAGCGTACCGACCAGCTACGGATGGGTGAGGCGAGCGGTGGACGGGCTAATAGCGGATGGGCGAGTAGCGGATCGCCGGTGCGGAACGGGAGGGAGAGCGGTGGACGGGCTAATAGCGGACGGGCTAGTAACGGCAGTTGCGCGATGGAAGATGGTCTGGCGGAACAAACGGAACTGGCGGGAATGGCGGAGCTGGCGGAGCTGACGCCGTGGGGACGAGCGGACGGCCGGGAGAACGGCGACGACCGGATATGGAGGAGACGAGGCGAGACGAGCAGTCTACGAGTTTGCTTTTGAGTCTGCTTTTGAGTCGACTCAAAAGCTGGCGGAACTGGCGCGATGGGGCCAAGCGGACGGCCGGAGAATGGTAACGAGCGGCTATGGATTTTCAAGAATATTACAGGAGCCGAGGCTGGGACGTGGCGCGACTAGCGAGGATTATGTACACCTAACCCGCCGCACTGTATTGCTACGTACTGTACATAACTATCGCTACTCGTGCCGCGGGGAGCAAGTTCTCTGGCAGGCATCACCAATTCGCGACGAGTAGTTGGCTGTTTGTGGGAGGGGTGGGACGGGGAGGGATGCGGTACGGTACGGTTCAATGGAAGGGAGCGGGGTTGGATGCGTGGAGGAAACTGTTGTTCTGTACGCACTCTTGCCAAGCCACACCGAGCGAAGGGTCGAGGACTCTGGTCCGGGCCAGAGACTGTTCACGAGGTGGTATCTCACACGCAACACCTCCTCCATCCATCCATGACCATGATTCTATGGTGATCTGGGTGGGCCGAGTTTTGAGGCGCCTCAAAAGTCCATCCATCCATGGCCATGATTCTATGGTGATGTGGTTGGGCCGAGTTCGGTAGGCATGGCGAAATTCGCTTCGGGTGAATCCTCCCTACTGGTTGGTAGTGTTCCATTCACGACTCGAGCCGAATGTGTGCGCAACAAGGGTGGTGGCGATTCGTGAGCCGTGGGATGGGTGGGTATGCGGGTTGTTGTGTGGGTGTTGCTCGGTCGGTCAGTCGGTGATTCTCCGTGAATTCTCCCACCTGCCGCTGTTGTGACAAGGCACACGTCCTTCCCCCCTTTTCCTCCCCCCCGACTCCCCAACCTGAAGGCCTGCCCAAGAGTACGTCCCGCATACACTGACTACGGTGATGTGCGTTTCAGAACGTTGGAATACGGTTTTTCTACTTCACCGCCTCGAACCTTGGGACACCGTATTGGACCTGCACAGACTGAATGGCGGAGGTACTCTTGGGACACGCCCTGAGGGCGTGACATAGAAGTACGCCGCATTGCGGTTCGTAAAGATATTCCACGTTCTAGAACGGTTAAATAAAAACAATAAACGGTTTAGTATGTTTTCTCCCTGAAGGATTCTTTGGGACACGCCCTGAGGTGAGCCTGGGCAGCAATTGCTACTGTTGCAAGAACCTAGAGAGTGTGGTTAGGGGGAAAGCTTTGGGACAGGAAGGCTAGATTCACGAATCACGATTCACGAATCACGATTCACGACCCATGAAAGAAGCAAGAACACCTTGAACAGCAAGACCTACAGTAGGGCGTGTCCCCCGCGTACGTATCTCTCTCGAAACCTTAACCAACCGTTTTGGATCGTTATGATAATGTTCTGTTTCGCAGAGCATCTTACTCAACCGCAATAAAACGCACGCCCAGACACGCCCTTACGCCTCAAGAAGCGCACGCGGAAGAGAACGGGGAAGAGGAAAGGGGAAGGGAAGGAAAATGTGAAGGTGTGTCGAGTCGACGGTACACTCCCCAGAAACACCGACGGTGGGCAGTTTCAGGGCAGTTTCAGAGCCGCTTGGTGTCTGACTGCCGACACTGGCAGTCGTCAACTTCGTTTTATCCTTCTGCCCCATTTTGTTCAATTCTGCGGCTGCGATGGACCTCCCCCACGATTGTGCGGCTGTGACACGACGCACGTGCGGCGGCGAACAGAGAAAGGTGCGAGCTGAAAAATTGAAGATTTTAAAATAAATATTTGCATCATACTAGACGTGTCGATGTAGTATAATGGTCAGTATCTCCGCCTGTCACGCGGAAGATCCGGGTTCGATCCCCGGCATCGGCGGTTTTGCTCGTAGTTGGTTTCCTGGACCCTTGGTGAACCCGGATCAAGAGCTCGTGAGAGAAATACGCTTCGATACAGGTCATGTTCGATATCACGTCACGCGAGCCCACATCGCTTCATCACAGGGGCCAGGTTGCTCCCTTCAGCTGCTGAATTTCCCCTCTTCGACTTCGCTTTCTTTCCGACATCATTGTCTCACGGCCTCGAGATTTTCTGACTCGCCTTCCTTCCTGGGAGGAATCTGACGCCCGTTTCTGTTGATCGTGGATATCTGAGGAAATTAGAGGTTGGTATTCGTTCTCTGGCTTCAAATTCAACGTTTAGGCTTGCAACCAGTTCGTCTGGGTCGGAGCCATGGTTCACCTCCTCAGATCACAGTGTAGTTGACCGTTGGAGCTGGGATTGCTGGACCGAGTCAGAATAAAGAGACTCCGTTTTTCTGGAACAATCCCGATTCAGGGCCAAATCCTTTGCAACCGAGTCTGGCTGTCCGTTTTCGGAGCTACAAAAGCCGAATCCAGTCAGATTTTGAGCGGCTGTTAGGGTGATGGTCGCGGATTTTATTTCTTCTAAATCTTTCCTGTTGCTTCCGAATTCCACCTCGTTTACCTCCATGCGTTTCTGTGACTTCTTTTGTTTATTTTTTTCCTTGCAGGCAAATCGTAATGGCGTTTCTTTACCACCGCCACCTCCTCCTCCTCCTCCTCCACCTCCTCCTCCTCCTGCTCACCCCTGCGCACGTGGCAGCCAGCGGCGGAGTGACGTTCCAGGCGATTCTGGAGGAGGCACGTGGCAGCAACGGATTGGCCATGGTTCTTGGGTTAAGGCGAGCCTTGCATGAAATTCCCGAGCTCATGTTCCGCGAATTCCGGACGAGCGCCATGGTGCAGGAGACGCTGGCGTCGTTGGGAATACCGTTCCAGCCCAACTTCGCAGGAACCACGGGTGAGAGGGCTTAAAACGGGTATATTCTGAGGCCTATACCGCATATATTCTGAAGCTTAAGGGGTGTATGTTGAAATTCCGGACGAGCGCCATGGTGCAGGAGACGCTGGCGTGTTTGGGAATGCCGTTCCAGCTCAACTTCGCAGGAACCAAGGGTAAGAGGTCTCATAACGGGTATATTGCGAGGCTTACAGCGGGTATGTTTGAGGTCAGGACGAGCGCCATGGTGCAGGAGACGCTGGCGTCCTTAAGAATACCGTTTTAGCCCAACTTTGCAGGAACTACTGGTGAGAGGGCTTATAACGGGTATGTTCTGAGGCTTATAACGGGTATATTCTGAGGCTTATAGCGGGTATATTTGGGGTAAGGCTGAGCGCCATGGTGCAGGAGACGCTGGCGTCCTTGGGAATACCGTTCCAGCCCAACTTTGCAGGAACCACAGGTGAGAGAGCTTAAGAAGTTACGAGTACATTTGTAATTAAAAACGGGTAAGTTATGAGGCTTATAGCGGGGATTTTGAGTTCAGGACGAGCGCCATGGTGCAGGAGACGCTGGCGTTCTTGGGAATACCGTTCCAGCCCAATTTCGCAGGCACCACGGGTGAGAGGGCTTATAACGGGAATGTTCTGATGCTTGTAACGGGGTATCTTCTGAGTCTTGTAACGGGTATCTTCTGAGTCTTGTAACGGGTATGCTCTGAATCTTATGGCTGAGATTTTTTAGGTCAGGACGAGTGCCATCATGCAGGAGAATCTGGCATCCTTGGGAATACTGTTCCAGGCCAACTTAGCAGGCATCACGGGTGAGAGGGCTTATAGGGTACGATCTGAGGCTTGTAGCAGGTATGTTATGAGGCTTATAGCGGGTATGTTTGAGGTCAGGCTGAGCGCCATGGTGCTGGAGATGCCGGCATCCTTGAGAATACCGTTCCAGCCCAACTCAAGAGGAACCACGGGGGAGACAGGGCGAGCGCCATGGCATCTAACTTACTGCTCTCCTCCCTACTCTTTCTCACTCCCATTGACTTTTGAGTCGACTCAAAAGATGACTTATGAGTTGACTCAAAAGTCACCTAGGGCGAGCGCCATGGCATCTAAGTTACTGCTCTCCTCCCTACTCTTTCTCACTCCCATTGCATCCCCCTTCCCCCTCCCCCCCTTGCCTCAAACCTCCCTTTTCTCGTTTGCAGCCCTGATTTCCGACAAGGTGTTGTGCCAACTATCGGCACTGATTCCAGACCAGTGATGGCGGTCTGTGCGGACAAGGACGCTCAAAAGGCCTGTTGTTACAAAAGAAACAGATGTGCCGTTCAAGTCCCCACACTCCCTACCCTCTGCCCTCCAACCTTTTTCGAGTCGACTCAAAAGGTGATTATTTAGTCGACTCAAAAATCAAGTCCCCACACTCCCTACCCTCTGCTCTCCACCCTTTCTGCTGATCGCATCGCAGGCATGGTGGCAACCATAGGCACGGGCGCAGAACCGACATGGCGCTCCGTGCGGATATGGACGCTCTTCCCATTACGGAAGGAACGGATGTGCCGTTCAAGTCGCGCCATCCCGGCAAGATGCATGCATGCGGCCATGACGCCCACACTGCCATGCCTCCCCTCCTCAACCCTTTCCACTTCCTCCCCTTCCTTCCCTCCCCAACTCCCCTACTCTCGTTCGCGGCCCCCCTTCTTTATCTAGGTGTTGTGGCAACGATTGGAACGGGGGCAGAACCTATAGTGGCTCTAAGGGCGGATATGGACGCTCTACCCATTATGGAGGAGACGGATGTGCCGTTCAAGTCGCGCCATCCTGGCAAGATGCATGCATGCGGCCATGACGCCCACACCGCCATGCTGCTCGCTGCTGCCCGGATCCTGCAGGAGCGCGCTCGGGCAGGTGAGAAATGCTTTCACTCGGAGCAATCTCAGCTCAGCCCACATTCGGCGGGCTCGTGCTCGGGCAGGCAGGAAATTTCCAACCAGGTCGGTATGCATATTGGCAGATGATTTTTGTCTTTCCTACCCCAGTAAAACCTTTTCTTCTCTTATCCTACCTTCCTTCCGTAATGCTTTTTTTTCCCGCTGTCATCGTTGCCGCCCTTCCCCAGGCACCTTGGCCGGCACGGTTCGTCTTATTTTCCAGCCAGCAGAGGAGGGGGGAGCAGGGGGAAAGAGGATGGTGGATGGGGGGGCTTTAAGGGGCGTGTCTGCTGCCTTTGCGCTGCATGTATCGCCCAAGGTGTGTTAATTAAGGCGATTGAGAGCAACGAGAGGCAAGTATACTTGGGAGTGCCTGTGCGTGGGTCGAGACAAGAGAAAGGATTGTGGACGGGGGTGTTGCAGGGGCGTGTGTGCTCCCTTTGCCGTCTGTCTGTTCTGCTGCTCTCCTCCTCTGAGCTTCCAGCGTGAGGAGTCTATTTTTGAGGCGCCTCAAAATTAGGCCTCTCAGGGGCGTGTGTGCTGCCTTTGCCCTCTGTCTGCTCTGTCTGCTCTGTCTGCTCTGTCTGCTCTGTCTGCTCTGTCTGCTCTGTCTGCTCTGTCTGCTCTGTCTGCTCTGTCTGCTCTCCTCCTCTGAGCTACCAGCGGCCTTTGTGGGCAGTCGGCCCAGCATGCTGCTAGCGGGTACAGGCTTCTCTTTCGCTCTCCATCTCCCTGTGTCTCACCCTTTCTTCCTTTTCCTCCCTCTCTCCCTCTCCCCTTTCTTCCTTTCTTCCGTTTCTCCCTATCGCCCGTGCCTTGTCTCAGAGGGGCCTAGTTTTGAGGCGCCTCAAAACTGTTCTCCCTATCGCCCGCGCCTTGTCTCAGATCCGGGGGGCCTCTACCCGCCCCCCTCCCTCTCCTCCCCCTCACATCCCAGCAGGCTGTGTGGGCAGTCGCCCGGACGTGCTGCAGGCAGGCTCAGGCCTTTTTCTAGACGCCTTAGAACCATCTACAAGCCCAGGGTTACTCCTCTTCCGTCCCTCTACCCGCCCCCCTCCCTCTCCTCCCCCTCACATCCCAGCGGGCTATGTGGGCAGTCGCCCGGGCGTGTTGCAGGGAGGGTCAGGCCTCTTTCCAGTTGGCTTCTCCCTATCTCCCCATCTCCCTGTCTCCCTCACTTTCTCTCTTTCTGTCCTCCCCTTCTGCTCTCCTCACCCCACATCCCAGCGGGCTCTGTGGGCTATGTGCTGCTGGCGGGGTCAGGCCTTGAGGTTAACCTGGCCTTTTTCCAGACGTCTTTGAACCATCTACATGGCCAGGTTTACTCTTCTTCGCCCCCTCTCCCCGCCCCCCTCCCTCCCCCTTTCAGATCCCAGCGGGCTATGTAGGCAGTCGCCCCGGCATGCTGCTAGCGGGGTCGGGTCGGTTCAACGCCACGGTGTGGGGCAAAGGGGGGCATGCCGCCATGCCTCAATTCACAGCAGATCCTATCCTTGCTGCCGCGCATGTTGTTTCGAGGTAACACCGCATATGCTGTCGAGGTGACACCATTACACTGGTTGCTCACACGGCCGGTACAACGCCACCGTGTGGGGCAAAGGGGGGCATGCCGCCATGCCTCAGTTCACAGCCGACCCTATCCTTTCTGCTGCTCATATCGTCTCAAGGTACCAAGCCCTATTGCATGGCTTGTCAATGCCAATGCAATGCCACTATCTGGGGTAGCAAAGGGGGGCATGCCGCCATGCCTCAGGTTCACAGCAGAGCCCATCCTCGCTGCTGCTCACATCGACTCGAGGTAAGCATGGTAACCGGGTGACACTGTAACTCTGTGACGTGCTGCTAGCGGGGTCGGGTCGGTTCAACGCCACCGTGTGGGGCAAAGGGGGGCATGCCTCCATGCCTCAGGTTCACAGCAGAGCCCATCCTCGCTGCTGCTCACATCGACTCGAGGTAAGCATGGTAACCGGGTGACACTGTAACTCTGTGACGTGCTGCTAGCGGGGTCGGGTCGGTTCAACGCCACCGTGTGGGGCAAAGGGGGGCATGCCGCCATGCCTCAGGTTCACAGCAGAGCCCATCCTCGCTGCTGCTCACATCGACTCGAGGTAAGCATGGTAACCGGGTGACACTGTAACTCTGTGACGTGCTGCTAGCGGGGTCGGGTCGGTTCAACGCCACCGTGTGGGGCAAAGGGGGGCATGCCTCCATGCCTCAGGTTCACAGCAGAGCCCATCCTCGCTGCTGCTCACATCGACTCGAGGTAAGCATGGTAACCGGGTGACACTGTAACTCTGTGACGTGCTGCTAGCGGGGTCGGGTCGGTTCAACGCCACCGTGTGGGGCAAAGGGGGGCATGCCGCCATGCCTCAGGTTCACAGCTGATCCCATCCTCGCTGCTGTGCATGTCGTTTTGTCTTTAACAAATTCCATTCCCCTTAGTCCTCTGTTCTTTTGTTGCCCTGTCTCTATTTAGCAACGCATGCTTTTAACGAGGTGACTTTTGAGTCGACTCAAAAGTCACTTTTGTTGCTCTGTCTCTAGTTAGCAACGCACACTTTTACGCGGACGAGGTATAGAATTAGACGGGCGATGTCGTGGGCACAAGCAAATGGTTACGGCTACTTTCCTAAGACATACCCCAGCAAGGTGACTTGTGAGTCGACTCAAAAATGGTTACGGCTAGTTTTCGAAGACATACCTCAGCTCGACAACTCGCGAGAGGATGTGGAGCTTCGGCTGTTGTCCCAGGCCATTCTTGGGGAGGAGTTTCGACAGCGGGTGTACCTGTACTTGTACCTGTACTTGTACCTGTACTTGTTCTGGCAGCCAATAGTATAACGGGCTTGCAACAACACTGAAACCGGGCCGTTACACCATTGGGTGAAATCGGAGCATGTCTCCACATCCTCTCACGAGTTGTCTTGCTGGAGTATGTCGTAACAGACAAGTTGTAACCATTTGCTCTTGTCCACGACATCGCTTGTCTTGTCCTTCACCCCGTCCATGTCCCCGTAACCATATGGTTGTTTGTGTGATTCAATCTCCCTTATTTTCCCCATCATCCCCATCATCCCCATCATCCCCATCCCATCTTTTCCTCTCCTCCCATAACCTGCCCCCCCCCCCTCCCCCACCCAGTATCGAGGAAGACCGACCCCTTGCCTCGCGGGTTGTCTCAGTGACTCAATTCCACGGCGGCTCCTCTGACAATATCATCCTCAATACATTCACGCTCCGAGGCACCTATATAGAGCCACCACTAAGGACGGACTTGCAGACCTGTAAAGTACCTGTTTTTTTCACCCCCATCCATTTCCCCCCGCTTTCCCCACCCCCCCACATCCCCCCTTCCCCCCCCCTGCCCCCCCTTCCCAGCCTCCAGGCCATAGTATCGCGGGAAACTGACCCTTTCGCTTCTCGGGTTGTCTCCGTGACTCAATTCCACGGCGGCTCGGCCGACAATGTCATCCCGGATACAGTCACGCTCCGAGGCACCTACAGAGCCACCACTAAGGAGGGGCTCGCTGACCTGGAACGGCGCATTGCTGACATCATCGACGCGCAGGCGCGTGTGTTTGGATGTAGGGGAAGCGTGGATTATGGCATGATGGATACTGTGCAAGCTGCTGCTGCTGATGATACTGATACTGGTGCTGCTGCTAGTGATGGTGGTGCTAGTGGTGGTGCTGCTAGTGGTGATGCTGGGGTGTCGGAAAGCTCTGCTGCAGCAGAAGCAGCAGAAGCAGGAGGTTTCTGTTCAAGCGCTGGTGGCGGGACGGCTGAAGGCACTTGCAGTGCTAGCAGCACTGGCAGTACCGGCAGCAGCAGCAGCAGCAGCAGCAGCAGCAGCAGCAGCAGCAGTGGTCACATTGAATCGTCAGCAGCTGAGGTTCCACCTCTTTCCGAACCTCCTGCCGAACCTCTTGCCGACCCTCTCGGATACGACTGGCCGCCCACGCGCATCCCAGCCTACCCCCCCACCGTCAATGACGTCAGCATGCACGCCCTCGGCCGTGCCGTGGTCCGGAAGCTTCTGGGAAGCTCCGCGTACCTGGAGGTTGACCCGTGGATGGCTGGGGAGGACTTCTCGTTCTACCAGGAGGCTGTTCCAGGCGCCATGTTCTTTCTAGGAGTGGGGGCGTCTGGTGAGAATAAGTCTGGTGATAATAACACCACCAGCAGCAGCAGCCCTCCCCTCCATTCCCCCGTGTTCACCATCAATGAGGATGCCCTTCCCATCGGTGTGGCGCTGCACGTGGGGTTCGTGGAGGGCTTTTTTCTGGAGAAGAGGGCACAGGCATAGGGACATGTGCTGGTTCCTGGAGGTAGATCAGTGGGTAGTGAGCCGATCTTTTAGTCGACTCAAAAATTGACTCATTACACACAAAGAGGGCACAGGCATTACACACGAAGAGGGCACAGGCATTACACATGAAGAGGGCACAGGCATAGGGACGTGTGCTGGTTCCTGGAGGTAGATCAGTGGATGGCTGGGGAGGTCTTTTCGGGCTTAGAGATGCAAGCGCAGGGGCAGGGACAGGGACAGGCGCAGACGTAGAGGGAGGCTTGTGAGTCGCTCCTCCCTTCGGTGCGGCTCTGCATGTGGGGTTTGTGCCCCTACCCTCTTTGTTTTTTAGTCGACGCGAATGCAAACCCTGCCCTCATGGTCCACCTGTGTCTACCAACTGCTTTCTATATGAGCGCACCCAAGCACACTTCGTGGTGCATATGGGTGTATGGTCATAAGTAGAAGATCGTCACAAAGATGTGTATGTGTGACAGCCCAATATATTTTGTAGTAGATGTGTCAACTTTCCTGGATTAGTCACTGTAACCATTTCTGCTGAGGGGTGATGGGTGGTGGCTCGGCCCTCCGTGGGAGAGGCAATGCACTTTCTAGACCTTTCCAACCCCGTCAATGAATCAAAAGATGAGCCTACACTAATCCCCCTAAACGCTAATCAAAACGTCGATTTCGTGTAAATAAGAGGACACCCTTCTGGAGCATGCACGGGTTACATGTACATGTGTGGGAAAGAAATACGAGCCAGGCTGTAGGTTCCTCAGGCCATGTCAAATTGGTTAGCTTCGGTTGCGTGAGCTGTGTTGCGGGCCACCTGAGAGACAAGAATCGAAGGGGGAGCAGAAACGAACAAGCGACCACAGCAGGAACAAATGAGACCAAGGGAGTGGAGAAACCAGGGGAGCGCCAAGCGACTATTTTGAGGCACCTAAAAAATAGACGACTCCTTACCAATAGTAACGAACAAGCTATTGAAGTAAATCGAGTATACTTCAACACAAGCAAACACAGCAGGAACAAACGCGACCAAAGGAGAAACCTGGGAGGCACCAAGAGATGGTACGACATCCAGAGCAAGAGTACATTAAGTCCCGAAGTACACTAATCAACCCCAAAGCAACCCACCCATACCCCCCCCCCCCCCCCCCCTATTGTGTTTGTACCTCTCTCAACATGAGGTTCACCCGCTGCAAAGTGCTAATTGTTTCTTTTAGCTCAGCGTTTTGCTGGTCCACTGCTGCTAACACACCCCTGCTCTAACTCCCCAAGTACACTAAGTGACCAGTCACCCCTCCCTCCCTCCGTACCTGTCTTAGCATGAAGTTCTCTCGTTGCAAGGTGCTAAGTGTTTCTTTTAGCTCAGCGTTCCGCTGGTCCAGCTGCGAGACCCGCCCCTCCAACTCTGAAAGGTACACTTTGCGCCGCTCTCTGGCCTGCTGCGCTGACACCCTGTTGCGGAGCAGCCTGTAAAGAGGACAACCAGGGTGGGGTACTTTTAAATAGGTGAAGGTCCTCACACTATTCTTATCCGCTCCCTGGCCTGCTGAGCTGGCACTCTGTTGCAGGCAGCCTGTAAAGGGGACGCATTCAGGACACATCAGAAGAAGGGAGACGGCCAAGGTAAACACTAGCTGGGAAAATGAATCCTAGTGACTGTCAGGTCGGTGCCACAGCCCGACCTGCTGCGCTGACGCCCTGTTGCGGAGCAGCCTGTAAAGGGGATGACGGATTCACAGGGACATAGCAGCAAAGGAAGTGGCGCAGAGACGACCTCTATCTCCTTTGCTGAAGGGCAAGATCTCGAAGAGAGTAGACTTTTTGCTGCTACACCTACCTACCACCTTAATCTACATGCATCTTAATCTCTCATGCCCTCCGCCCCCCCCCCCTCCCCCCCTTCCCCCCCCTCCCCTTTCCCCAGTACGCCCTGCCGCTCCTGCCTCATACCTATGGACCTTCCATACATCCCTAGTCTATAAGTCTCCCTACCTCCTCAGTCTCTTATGCTCCCTCTCACCCTAGTCTTTAAGTCTCCCTACCTCCTTAGTCTCTTATGCTCCCTCTCACCCTAGTCTATAAGTCTCCCTACCTCCTTAGTCTCTTATGCTCCCTTTCAGCCGTGCTTCCCCCTCTCCGCCTCACTCCCCCAGTACCACCTCCCCCTCCCCCACCACCTTCTCCCGACCTTCCTCCTCCCCCTCCCCTCCCCCCCGCCTGCCCCCCCTCCTCCCCCTCATCGTCTTCCTCCTCCTCATCCTCATCATAATACTCATCCTCCCCCCCTTCTCCCCCGTCTCCCCCCTCTCCCCCGCCCCCTCCCCCGTCTCCCCCCTCCTCCTCGTTCCCATAAGATATCGCGCCACCAGAAGCGGCATTTTCGGAGGGTAAATCGCCCAAAGGTGTCAGCAATTCAGCCTGCCCGCCGCTTCCGTCCGCTCCTCTTGCCCCTCCCCCTCCCCCCTGCTGCTGGCGCACTGGTAGCGCCTGCCCCTGCGCCCGGTCCTGCGCCTGGCCTTGAGCCCGAGCCTGGGCCCGAGCCCGAGACTGCGCCTGCTGCGCTTGTCCTTGTGTCTGCGCCTGCGTGGCAGCAGCAGCGCCAGTCGCGGCGGCAGTGTCGTGGTTTCGTCTAAGCCGAGGCACCTGCGCGTCTGCGTCTTGGTCTGAGTGATCAAGGGAAGAGAGGTTGGGGGAAAGGGGGGAAAGGGGGGAAAGAAAACAGACAAGCGGGGGAGGGGGGGGGATTTTCGACTAGGCCGACGCACACACCCGCACACACCCGCACACACCCGCACACACCCGCACACACCCGCACACACCCGCACACACCCGCACACCCCCATACACCCAAACACATGTAAGGAAATGTACCTGTTCCTCTCAACGCAGCAGCTGCTCGGGCAGTTGTGGGGTTCTCCGACGCCATCTTCATCGACTCCTCTTAGCTAAGTTCGGGGATGCGAGTCTTCGTCAAGTTCGGGGTTGCGAGTCTTAGTTAAGTACGTGGATCCGAGTCGATTCTGCTAGGTGGAGTCCTAAGCGCCAAACAATGCTGCTTAGTGCAGGTCCGAGGCGCCTCAAAGGTCGACTCGACTACTCAAAGTTTACCTGGCTTGTGCGGGTTTGTTTTAAGTCGACTCAAAATACATCTGAAATCAAGCCGGGGCTTATGCGGAACGATTCTTATCTCCAACGAACACGGAAGATACGCTACCTTGAGAAGACACCGACTATGCACCAGAGCGTTTCGTCCAGTCTCCTATGCACTGGTCGCAATCTCAAACGAACCATAGTAGTAAGCTCTTCAGGATAATAACTAATACTGTACATACAATCGTCGCTGCGACGCGGCGGTTAGTAACTCTCCATCCAGCGTCACCGCGAGAGCGTCTTGCGAGGAAGTCTTGCGTTCTCAAAGGTCTGCATTTCTGTCATGCGATTTGTAAGGGCGTGTCCTGAGTTGCGAAATTTGAAAAATTATCGTAGTGCAACCTACTGTACCGTACAGAGCCGTGATTGATTGTACCGAAACCATAGTATTTGCGTCGGATGTCAAAGTAAGCTGCTCTGACGTCCGTCCCCCGAAAACTCCCGAAGTTGGTGCGAGGTCATTTTGGTGCAAAACAGCACTATGACAATACTGACCAAACTGCCCGACACAAAAAATTCCGCCTAAGCAATCAGATGCAACATTCGGAATTCCGAGTTGAGCTCGCAGAATCCTCAGGGTATTTCCGCAGCGAGTGTCAGACCCGAGGTCGACCCGCGGCCGAAGGAGCCGCGGGTTGTCACGACCTAACTGCGGGTTTAGTTTTCTTGACGGAGCAGCGGCTGTATAGTCGCGGACTGTCGCAAGGGGAGGGTTGCGACTATACTTACGGAACTTTGAGAGTCCACCAGAAATTTTCGAAGTTATGATTGGTGAAAGTTCAATTGCGCGACGTTGTTAAGTGTTCGGCTTGACAGCTGAATGGCTGGAGCCGTCAGTATCTCGCAAGACCCGAGGCCATTTATTTCCAGCCTCGGATCTCCCGCTAAACCCTCGGGTACCCCTCGCTGCGGACCCACCCTCATTGGCGAACGATTGCAACCGTTGACAAGTGGGTTACTTGTTTTCCAAATATTTCTTGGGCTGCCCTTTCTCTTCGATGAAATCTTTCGTACCGAACCAATCTCCCGAATTCCGTTTCCTACCACCTCTTCCTCTCCGACAGGACACCACCAAGGTTTCCGTACAGTAGCCTGAGGAAGATTTGACGTGAAGTTTCGAGGGGCTATGATTGGCCAGAATTGAGGAGTGAGAGGTGGCCGCTGGAGACACCCTGACTGTATTGGATTTGACGTGTCCACCTTCACCGCCTCTCAATCAGGCCCGAGGAGGCCCAGTATCGGCATAGTCGCATCCGGTTGCAGACCTTGTGGAAAGTTCACACGCTCTAAACATGGTCCCATTGTATGTAGGTTAGGATTACGATTACTACTTTCGAAGTACATGCAGCTCACTAGTTGATGTGAAATAAAACATAAATCGCATTGCAGAGATTAAAAAAAATCTGGATGCAAAATATGGAGTTTGATCCTAGTTCTACAAGGGCATGAGTTATACGTGACATCGTATGATGCTTGTTTACCAGGGAGTGAGGACCAAGCTAGTTACGCAGCAGGCCTCTCAGCGAGTACGATAAGGACATAATATCTGTGACAGCTCCCACCTGGAGCTGGTCAGAAACAGTAAAGTTCGTTGGAAAAGTTTACAGCTCTGTCAGGGAGGGTCATTTACACATCATGGTGCAACTTTTTTTTTTTACAAAAGCGTGAGAATTTTAGGCTTGTGTTGGCCGTTCGATCCTGGAACAGTCTGCTCTGCATCATGAACGAATCGTCCTTGATGAGCCACGTCACCGTAGCAGACACGATCAACACCACTGTAGCAACCATGTTTTGTTCACAACGCGGTGGAGTGCTGCCCGGGAACATAAATTTCCCATAGTCCTGTGTTGCCCTGCACAAAGCGTCTTGTCTACACCGGATGTCTTTTTGATTCTTATTTGTTGTTCAATTGAGTGCTCCTGTGTCGGACACAAACAACTCTCCCCACAGCTGGGTTTGTACATTAGACCAGGGTTACAGTACCACCCTGGCAGCGACGCTGTAAAAAAAGATGGTCTGAGCTGTTGTTTGTGAATATCAGTAACAGCATGCACTGCGCCAGCAAATTCTGGGCGTCATTTCTTTTACTACTGCGCACGTTTTTCCGAGGCGCAATCTTCAGATTGCGCCTGATTCTGAGGCCTGTACACATCGGGCCGTTGCGCGTAAAACCTGCTCAGTGGGACTAAATATAGTTCAAAGTTCTTGGATGGATAGACAGTTTCCTGAGCATCAAGTGTAGCCTAAAAATACGAAACCCTATGGTTGTCGTGTCAGTCGGTCAGCCCGCCCTGGAGCTTGTTCGAACTTGGGATGGTGGCAATCATTTGATCTGGCCGGACACAGCGGTGTAGATGTTATCAGAACGGCCGTATGCGGTACACCATGGTTGATGAACCTGTTTCCTGCCATGCGATGCAAGCACTACGCCTTGACAGCTGCTCTGCCCTCACCTCACCTCATTCCTGCTTCTGTCCCCGTGGCTCTCTCGAGCTTCCCAAGATAAACTCTCCACCGCACGATGGTGGCTTGAAGATCATTTGTCCTTGATCTTGCCGACAAGTATATGGGAGAATTCCCATCGTCCTTTTGGCCATGGGGAGAGGGATCATCTCACTTTCGCATTCACATCGCATCCCATGATCAGATCATCCTTCCTTACGCTTTATGTACAGTTCCCTCGACTCGGTCCAGAATCATCGTTATCTCATGGTCTTTATCTCATCAACCTCCCAGTACCGTACGCTGGAGCGAAGGCCAGAACGAAGGCAGTCAGTGAACCATAAGCTAGAATTATCTATCAAGCAGGTTTATCCATTCCAAACACCTGAGCCAGAGCTCGTCAAGTACGGACCATTCCTTCGAAATTACGGATTTCTGTTTTCTCATACCTACACAATTATTAAAAAACGATGGAGGTTCACCCTCGCAACGCTGGCTCCTAGACCGGCTTTATTGGTACTTTCGATTTATTGTAGTTTATTGTTTTTTTTTTTTTTTTTTTGACAATTAGTTCAGGCAGACCAGCATGGGTTCTGCTGCTCCAGCATTACTTGTACAGCACGCGTTAGGAGCACTGAGCAGCCTGCAGGGATTCCCAGGAGGGTCATTACCCTCCGCGCGCCTGCTTCCGCCTCGGTTCTCCGGATCCCTCGGCCATAAATTCGTCCTGGAAGATGAGGAAATAGGAAGGGGTCGGTTCGGCGTGGTGCGGAGGTGTAGACACAGAGCGTCCAACCGTCCCTTCGTGTGCAAGTCCATAAGCAAGTCCTCGCTGCAGGTGCGTCTGCGCGCGCGTTCTGCGCAATTCGCCTCTTGGGCTCTCTTTTGTCTACTCGTCTGCGTTCGTCCTCGCGTTCTTCGTACCACGCGTTTCTAGACGCACTCTAACCCCGTGTCAGTACCCCGTCTCATCTACCCGTCTCATAACGGGCGTGGCGTCTTCGTCTACTTCAATCCCCGCACGCGCCCCTCCCCGCACGTCGTCTACTTCAATCCCCGCACGCGCCCCTCCCCGCACGTCGTCTACTTCAATCCCCTCACGCGCCCCTCCCCGCACGTCGTCTACTTCAATCCCCGCACGCGTCCACGCCGCCCGACAGCCTGCTTTTCAAAATCCGAAGAGTTGGTCACTCACCGGCGCGGGTCAACTCTGTCACGCAGGACGAAAAGCGGGTCTTCTTTGTCGAGTTCTGAGACGTCTCAAAAAGCGGGTCTTCTAAAAAAGCGGTGCATTGTCTAGGCGAGTGACGAAGACCCTTGGGGTTTCGACTCGACTCGTCCTCCTCCCTCGACGCCCATGTTTTCGAAGTCGAATCTAGTCCCATCGGAGGTAGACGTCCTCTTAGCCGTCCGCGGATTGCCAAGAGATGACTTTTAAGTCGATTCAAAAGTGAACTCGAAACTAGTCACATCCCATTGGAGGTAGACGTCCTTTTAGCCGTCCGCGGATTGCCAAGAGTGGCGCATGCAGAAGCGGTGGTACAGGAGCCCCACTTCTTCTTCTTACTTCTTCCTCCTTCCGTTGTTCTCTCCCTTGCCGCTCCCCTGTAGGATGTTTTTGAGAAATCTCAAAAACTCCTTCCAAGAGTGGCGCACGCAGAAGCGGTGGTACAGGAGCCCCTCTTCTTCCTCCTTCCGCTATTTTCTCCCTAGCCTGCTCCCCCGCACTACCCCCCCCCCCCCCCCCCGCCCCCCTCCCGCCCACCCCCCGCGTCAGTCCGCGCAGCACGTCTGCTCCCTGCGGTCAGCGGCTGACGTCCTGCTTTCAGTGCGCGGGCTGCCCAGCGTGGTGCACGTGGAGGAGGTGGTGGAGGAGCCCCACACGGTGCACGTGGTCATGGAGGCGCGTCAATTCCCGTCCTTCCCACGGGCTCGCTTGCACCCACTCACTCCCTGTTGACTTTTCAGTCGACTCAAAAGGCACCCACTCACTCCCTGTTCTCGCCCGTTCTCACTTCATCTGCAACTCTGTCTCCCGCCTCCACCCCCCCCCCCCCCCCCCCCCTCTCCTCTCTAACAGACTGCACAGCACATCGACTCGCTGCGATCGGAAGTAGGCGTTCTTCTAGCAGCGCGCGGGCTACCCAGCGTGGTGCGCGTGGAGGAAGTAATAGAGGAGCCCCACGCCGTGCACGTGGTGATGGAGGCGCCAAACCTCCCCACTTTCCCATGCTCCCTTGGTCCCCCCCCCCCCAACAGTCTGCGCAGCACATCGACTCTTTACGTTCCGAGGTAGACGTCCTCTTGGCAGTGCGCGGGCTACCCAGCGTGGTGCACGTGGAGGAAGTAATAGAGGAGCCCCACGCCGTGCACGTGGTGATGGAGGCGTGCGGGCAGGGCGACCTGTTTGACTACATCGCTCATTTCAACGGGATGCCCGAGCCAGCCGTGCGATACCTCTTCAGGTACGACCTACACTGAGGGCTGCCTTTCCAGGTACGACCTGCACTAAGTGCGGCCTGCCCAGGTGCAAGAGGTGGTCATGGAGGCTTGCGGGCAGGGCGACCTGTTTGACTACATCGCGCATTTCAATGCGATGCCTGAGCCAGCCGTGCGATATCTGTTCAGGTACGACCTGCACTGAGTGCAGCCTGCTCAGGTGCGATGCGACCCTAGAGTGTTTGGTGCATTTCCTTCCGCCTTGAGAGGTACGAGAGGTGATAGAGGAACCCCATGCGGCCCACGTGGCCCACGTGGTGCACGTGGAGGAGGTGGTAGAGGAGCCCCACGTGGTGCACGTGGTGATGGAGG